TTTGTCAATATTTTTTCTTACTGCTGTCAACTCCCTTAAGATGATATTACTATTCTCCAGTCACCTGATATTCTGTCCAAGAACAATTAACACACAATGATCCTTCTTTCAAGTATATTACCCTCTGGGGTAATTGAACATTTAGTCCCAGCTAATAAAGACGTAACTGCTACTTTGCTCTCTAGAAACTAGGAGTAAATTGTTCACAATAGTCACTAATGATCCTTCGTGTTTCTCAGCTATCAGTTGTAATACCTTCTCTTTCATTTTCACTTTCATTGATTCGAGGCTTCTCTCTTCTTTCTTGGTTAGTCTAACTAAAGTTTTGGTAATTTTATATATTTCAAAAAAAAAATCCAGTTTTGTTGGTTTTTAAAAATTTTTTGAAGATGCCAATAAAGGACTTTTCCTGCAGGTTTGTTTGTTGCATTCCAATTATCACAACATATGGAATAAAGTATACAAAGCCCCCAGCATCAAACAAACAAAACACAATATCAGCATCACATGTTTTCTCTAAATTCACATTACAAAGACAAATTGTGGAAATGACACAGTAGAAATAATGGCTTGTTTTCTTCTTCCTTAGAGAAAGTCAAAACAGTTATTAATATGTATTCTCCTGTGAAGTTCATTGTTCTTATTTCCATTATTCAAAGGAGAAGTTCTCTTCTGGAGGGCACCCAAAATTATACTATTATGTGGCAGCATCTGCAGCATCCTCAGAACTGGGAGAAAAGCCAAGCAACTTGTTCTTTGTATAATGATTTTGCTCCATTTTACCATTATCAGGTCTCCTGCAAAGGTCTGCACATGCCTGATCAAGTGAGGTCCTGCAGTCAACAGTGTCACTGATGAGCAGGGCCCGGGTGTTTCTAAGCAGGAAGGCATAAGAGTATGCGAGAAGTTTCAGATGAGCTAAAAGTTGCCCAGAAGAAATTAAAGCTCAGTTATGATAGTTTCATCTTGCTCAATCGTTATTTTTCAAGGCTGCTTCAACTCTTAAACTCCGAAAAGCGAAGGAGGAGAAAATGACTCACATCTTTAGGATTTGAGATTCCAGACTTGCATTCACTCAGCAGATGGATTTAGAAACTTGCCAGGTGTGAGGCTTTCCACCTTCCCTGTCTTTGAAAGTTGACCCGATGGCTTTAGTAAGAATAAGCTGGGAGCTATAGCACGTGTATTTGCTTAACCTTATTTAACGTCTTCCTTTTTTAAACTGTACGTTCAGATCTGACAATGAAATTGCACAATTCTAAGTATGTTTTGTCTTCTGCAGTTGCAAACCCTTCATCTGGGGTAGTGTAGGTATGAAATAGAAATTACAAAAAAGCTGATTATTCTATTTTCATTAGGAATTTCACTTTAGTCCTGTTTCTCTCACAGGACTAGTCTTATAAACCTTAAAACTATTTTATAAAAAGCTATTTTTGGTCTTTTGTTTTACCAATTGGTAGAACCTCCACAAAATTTTAACCAGTTTTTATCATAAAGCTCTGAATGATTACTTGAGAATACTACTTTTGATTAAACTTCATACGAAAGAACAAGAAGAGAAAAAGTATAAGAAAAGAGTCCCTTTTCTGCTTAAATTCACAAATGGCAAATTCACAGTGGGCTGGAACAGAAACAGCAGGGCTCTTCAGAAACTCCAGAGTTTTTTGTTGTTTGTTTTGTTTTTTGAGATGAGCTCTCCCTGTTTCTCCCAGGCTCAAAGTCTTGGGCTCAAGCGACCCTCCTGCCACAGCCCCCCAGGTAGATGGGATTACAGAGCGTGTGCCACTGTGCCCCACTCGGATCTTTGGATTAGGCTATCAGTAAAGGCTAAGAGCATTTAGACTTATACATTCCTTGAATGAGACCTCTTGCTCTCTGTGGCTGTCTCATTTCAAGGCAGCATGACTTTGTCTCTGAAGCTGTTCCTGAAGGAAAAGAGCTAGCAGATGGCCAGCGTTCTAACATGATTCATAACAAGGCTAAGTGAATGTGTACAACGTGTAAGGCAGCAGCTCTCTACCTCTGGTGGGCATCAGAAATACCTGCACACCTTTCTAAACATACAAGGGTTTGGACCTCACTCCCTACCTCCAAAGGTGGAGCTCCAGGCAGATAGGTCTTGCCAAAGTTTAGTCGGCCACTCTGATGTGTACCACAGAAAGCTAACTATTGATGCAGTGTGTCTGCCATGCAAATTCACAATCATTATTTGCATAATGGAGATGTTTTATCCATGGTGCATTTTACAAGATCACCACTGTAAGAGTTCCTTCATTTGTCTACCTTGGCTGCCGATTACCGAGCATCAGGCATCCGTAAAATGTTAATTCCCTTCACAACCAAAGTTAGAATTTTAAATGAACTTTTGCTTTTCACACTTTGCTTCTTATGTGTTAGCATTTAGGATGTACTTTTTTTACTTCTTATTTGTAGCTAGTTTCACTGGAAATTCTTCTGGTCTTAGTGTGCTTTTAATGTCTTGTTTTAAAGATAAAGAGATTTGTACATTCTAAAAAAAAAAAAAAAGAAAAAAATATGGAAAACATTCATCTTGGCAACGTCTAATAAAAAGAAAAAAATTCCTGATTTTAATTTACTACTGATTTTTACTAAAGTTTTAAGCTTTATCTTATGCAACAGGATCACAATTTCTTTCCCCGGTTATTAACACCCAGATTGCTTCAAATCCCCAAAAGGGAATTCCAAAACATCATGCTGTAGAATTCCTATGCCTTAACTTCTGCAGTGTTTCGCTGCAAAGGAGCAGGATGACCCCAACCTTCCTGTCTTCACTCTCGGAGTTGTACAAATGTATTATTGGACAAGATCTGGTACCAACTAGTGAATGCTCTGGCCCCTTCTGAGGGCTCTCCAGATTTTTGTGAATGAGATGTCATTAGTCATCCATTCATTCAATGTTTCTCTGGTGTTTCCACAACATCAGATTCATAGATAAATTTCTGAGCCTCATTTCCAGTTGAATCTGAATTTTCCATTGTAATACATACAAAGTAATACATACGAGCCCATATCTGCCACAATTTGGATGATATCTTCACTCTTCCACAAATTAGGAATGCCAAAGGACTCCAATAAATCTACCTCCACGAAGCAAATGGACCTTTGGTGCACCTTTCATTTTTGGCTTTAGGGGATTCCTTTTGAGCAGAATCTTGCCCTTGTGCAGTCCACTTCCTCTTCCATCCAGGCCTTTCTAGTGTAGGTGAGTTCTTTTGGGGATTATAGTTACTGGCCTTCAGTTTCTCTCGATGGAGTCTTAGCACCTAGACAGTCTCTATCCACTCCTTCTGAAGACTTTCTTATGTATCGATTTCTACCCCATTTGGAATTCTTGGTAGCACGTTCTGCCATGATGACCTGGTGATGGGCAGCAATGAGTCCTTTCTTCTCGTATGCATTGCCAACAGGAGAGTATGCCTCTGACAACTCTGTATCTTCCTATTCCATTCATGTAATCCTTGACCAGCTCAAACAACCTGAGGTGCATGTTGGTGACAGAATTAAAGGAACCACAAGCAAAGAGAACCACTTCGGTCTTCTCTGAATTTTCCATGGCAAGAACTTAAAGTTATCAATCTAAATGGAACACTGTGACACCTCCCTTGTGTTTACAAAGGAAATTCTTTGAATCTGAAGTGTCTTGCAAGGTAGACTATTGGAAGCATTTCAACTAGTGTGGCAACAGTCTTCTCTATGGTGGGCTAGGAAAATGGTTTTATATCCAAACTGTAATTAACACCCTCACTGCCCACCAGCCCAAGAGTTCCTGGAGACTAAACTGGTTTTCTGATCTCTGTTTCATTTATTTCTGCTCTAATTTTTACTTCCTTCTTCTTGTCAAATTTAGATTTATATTTTCCCTATTTTTCTAGTTTCTTGAAGTGTCAAGCAAGGTTCTTTTTCCTTTCTTTCTTTCCCTCCCTCCTTCCCTATCTCTCTCCCTCCCTCCCTTCCTTTCTTCCCACCTTCCTGCCTTCTTCTTTCCTTCCTTTCTTCCTTCCTTCTTTCCTCCCTTCCTCTTTTCCTTTTCCTTCTTTCCTTCCTTCCTTCCTTCCTCTTTTCCTTCTTTCCTTCTTTCCTTTCTTCTGCTTTTCCCTCCCTCCCTTCCTCTCTTTCTTCCTTCCTTTTTTTTTAATGCAGGCATTTTTCACTGTAAATCTCCCGCATAGGGAATAAAAGTTATTTCTGCATTCCATAAGTTTTGATGTGTTGTGTGTCCATTTTCATTTGTCTTTTGATTTCTTTTCTGACCAGAAGAAGTAATTCGGTTATTCAGGAGTATGTTTAATTTCCACATATGTTTTAATTTTCCAAAGTTCTTCCTGTTATTGATTTTTAGTTTCATAACATTGTGGTTGGAAAAGATACTTGATATAATTTCAATCTTCTTAAATTTGTTAAGACTTGTTTTGTGGCCTAACATATTATCTATCCTGGAGAATGTTCCATGTAAACTTGAGAAGAATGTTTACTCTGCTGCTACTGGATGCAATGTTGTGTATTTGTCAGTTAGGTCCATTGATCTAATGTGTTACTCAAGTCTGTTGTTTCCTTTCTGATTTTCTGAGTGAATAATTTATCCATTGTTGACAGTGGGGTACTGAAGTCCTCTAATATTGTGTCTACTTCTCCCTTAAGTTCTACTAATATTTGCTTTATATATTTAGGTGTGAAGTTGGATGCACACATGTTTACAGTAGTTATATGCTCTTGATCAACTGACCTCTTTATCGTTATAAAGTGACCTTCTCCATCTGTTTTGACTGAAAGTCTGTTTTGCCTAGTACAAGTACAGCTCCCTTTTGGTTGCCATTTGTGTGGAATATCTTATGCCATCTCATCACTTTCAGGGTATGTGTTTCCTTAAGGCTAAAGTAAGTCTCTTGTAGGTGTTATATTGTTGTATATTGTTATTTAATCCATTCAGCCACCCTATGTCTTTTGATTGCAGAATTTAATTTATTTACATAAATAGTTACGTGTTTACTTTGGCAGCACACATAATGAAAGTAGAACTATGCAGAGATGATTACCACGGCCCCGTGGAAGAATAACATGCAATAATGTGAAGCAGTCCACATTTTTACAGTGTAGTGTTTCTATTAGTTTTCTCTTTGAGTGTTTGCTAGTTAATTTGTTTATGTAACCAGTGTGAGGTTTTCATCATTTTAAAATAATGAGTTATAAGGTATTATTTGCAAGCCTCATGATAAACTCAAATAAAAATACACACAATAAATACACAGAAAATAAAAAGCAAGACATTAAAACAAACCTACCAAGAAAATCACCTTCACTAAAAAGAAGACAGGAAGAAAAGGCCACAAAACAATAAGAAAAAATAACAAAATAGCAGGGGTGCTTAATTATCAATAATAACATTGAATGTAAATGGAATAAACTCTCCATTCAAAAGGCATAGAATGGCTGAATGGATTTAAAGAATAATAATCTGTGGCCTACAAGAAACACTCTCCACCTATAAAGACACACGTAGACTGAATATAAAGAGATGGAAAAAGATATTCCATGCAAATAAAAATCAAGAAAGAGCTGGAGTAGCTATACTTATGACAGACAAAACAGATGTAAAAACAAAAAACTATTTAAAAAAAACAAAGAAGGTTATTATATAATAACAAAGGGTTCAACTTAGCCACAGGATATAACAATTATACATATATATGCATGCAACACCAGAGCATACAGATATATAAAGCAAATATTATTAGAGCTAAAGAGAGATTTACCCCAATGCAATAATAGCTAGAGACTTCAACATCCCACTTTCAGACTTGAACAGATAATCTGCAGAAAAGAAATTCAGCAAAGAAACACCAGGCTTAATCTGCATTATAGACCAAATGGACCTGTGATGGTTAATACATAGTTTCAGCTTGATTGGATTGAAGGATACAGGATATTAATCCTGGGCCTGTCTGCATGGGTGTTGCCAAAAGAGATTAACCTTTGAGTCGGTGGGCTGAGGAAGGCAAATCTGTCTTTAATCTCGTAGGCATCATTTAATCAGCTTCCATTGAATATAAGGCAGGCAGAAAAACGTCAAAAGACAAGATTGGTGTAGGCTCCCAGCTTACATCTTTCTCCCGTGCTGGATGCTTCCTGCCCTCGAACATCGGACCCTAAGTTCTTCAATTTGGGGACTTGGACTGGCCCTCCTGGCTCCTCAAGCTTGCAGACAGCTTATTGAGGGACTTTGTAATTGTGTAAGTTAATATTTAATAGGCCAGGTGCAGTAGCTCCCACCTGTAATCCCAGCACTTTGGGAGGCCAAGGCAGGCAGATTACTTGAGGTCAGGAGTTCAAGAACAGACTGGCCAACATGGTGAAACCCTGTCTTTAAAATACAAAAATTAGCTGGGCATGGTGGCTCATGCCTGTAGTCTCAGCTATTCAGGAGACTGAGGCAGGAGAATCAGTTGAACCCAAGACGTGGAGGTTGCAGTGAGCCAAGATGGCACCACTGTACTCTAGCCTGAGCAACAGAGTGAGAAACCCTCTATTAAATAAATAAATAAATGAACAAATAAACAAATAAAAGCTGGTGGTGTTTTTCTCAGTAGCACTCTCTCAATTTTTTTTTTTAAGACAAAGTCTTGTTATCACCCAGGCTGGAGTAGTGGCATGATCTCTGCTCCCTGCAACCTCCACCTCCCAGGTTCAAGCAATTCTTGTACCTCAGCCTCCTGAGTAGCTGGGATTACAGGTGTGAACCACCACACTCAGCTAACTTTTAGTAGCAACAGGGTTTCACCATATTGGCCAGGCTGATCTCAAACTCCTGACCTCAAATGATCCACCCACCTTGGCCTCCCAAAGTACTGGGATTACAGTGAGCCACCATACCTGGCCCAACTCTCTTAAATGTTGTTTATTTTTCAGGAAACAGATTGGATATCACTGCTTACCCACGAAAAAAGCCACATCAATAATTTTTTTGAGGAAGATCTTTCTCTATGGAAATTTACATGTAAAGTGGCTATGAAATTATGCCCCTTATGAACTTAGAATCTTTTGCCTAAATGACAAGGCATTAAAAACAAAACAAACAAAAGCCCCAAAAACAGAAAGCAAAAAAAAAAAAAAAAAAAAAAAAAAAAAAAACAAAAACAGGAAATATCTGAAAGCAGGAATAATCCATTCTGATGAATAATCCACTGTGGTGATGCTGCTTCTAAGTTAAATAACATAAAGACTGAGAACTGATGACTGGATGTGGTTCATGAGGCTTGTTGGTAACTTCGGTAAGTGGAGTCAGTGTGGAGTGGAAGGCATTCCTGATTAGAGTGTGTTTGGAGTTAACAGGAGGAAAAGGCTGAAGGTAAAATATGGACCACTTTCTGAAGAGCAGAAAACATCAAATCCATAAAGCCTTTTTTAAAGGTAAACTCTATTACAGCAGGTTTACGTTGATAGAAATTATTTTAGAGAAAGTATAACATTTATGATGTAAGAATAAAGTCCTTGAGAAGAAAAGAAGTAGATTTCTTTCTCTTTTTTTTGAGATAGAATCTCACTCTGTCACCCAGGCTGGGGTGCCGTAGCAGGATCTCAGCTAACTACAACCTCCGCCTCCAGGGTTCAAGCAATTCTCCTGCCCCAGCCTCCTGAGTAGCTGGGACTACTGGCACATATCATCACGCCTGGTTAATTTTTGTATTTTTAGTAGAGATGGGGTTTCACTCTGTTGGCCAGGCTGTTCTCAAACTCCTGACCTCAGGTGATCTACCCACCTTGGCATCTCAAAGTCCTAGGGTTACATGCATGAGTGATCGAGCCTGGCCAAGAAGTAGATTTCAGAACACAGGTGAAAATTCTGATCTTAATTAGGAAAAAGGATATAGCACATCATATTACAGAAAGTACAGTGCAGAACATGAATTCTGATATAGCTCAGCTACAGTTTGTTGGAGGGAAGATGACAAAACTCCGTTCTAATCATTTCTATATTTTTCAGGTGAATATGTAAAACAAAATCCTATGCTATCAGTGAGCAAGGTTTTCAGATATGGGAAAAAGTATAAAATTGATGACCAAAGAGAGTAGAACATATTAAATCATGAGACCCACGTGAATTGCTTACTAGCCCTGAGGTCACGTCTGAGGTTTGTGTTATAAATCTAAAGGGAGTTGTAAGTATAAAGTGAGCCCATGTTTTTCCTCATCCATGTTTGGCTACTCAGGTGTGAACACAGATTAATAACAAAGTTATCTTTTCATAAAGGAGATTGACGGAAAGAGAAAGGTACCAAGCATAAGTTTGTGTTTCATGACAGCAGTCCATCACGGTGTAGTCAGATGAGGAGATTAGGAAATAAGAAAGTATTCTCACCATCCCACTTCCCACTTCCATGCCAGTCCCACCTACTGTAACTATTCATAACAATGTTATTCCTTGCGTTCAAAAGAAAACTGAAAAAACAATGACTTACAAAAATTCAGTTTTGAAATTTGAAGTTGCTATTAATACTCAAATGCAATAGCCCTTTTTCTTGGTTATCTTGAGTAGCATAGTGACATGAACTGCGTACTGAACATCTCCTTTACTTCAAAAGCTCTTATACACATTTTATCCTTCAAGTGATGATCATTACAATTTTATAAGCGAGTATTTTGTCTCTGATTTTAGTTACAAATAAATTGAAGATCCTGTAAAGTAAATAATTCACCCCTGGTTTCACAGTTAATAAAAAATCTTTATCAACATTTTCCACATTGCTTTCCATTTCCCAAGCATAGAGCTGAAAGCCCTTGGCAAGAGTGAGAATGTGGATCTTGAAAGGACCTTTACATTATGTGTTCCAAATTATTTATTTAAAGAGAACCACAAACCTTACTTTGAATTCACCCACAAACCTCTGAGATGTGAGATGGGTAATTCCTCCAACATCATAAAATAAGAGAAGTTTACCTGATTGGACCAGATATTAGAAACAGAACAAGACCCATGAAAACAGTCCAAGATAGTAGCCAAGCACCTAATATGTCCCTGAAGGAATTCTACAGGAAGACTCTGGCCTGAGCGGTGAAGAAAAAGCCAGGGAGAGCCACTAGGACTCAAGATCTCAGATCTTTGGGGTCAGCTGAGCTCCACTCATCTCTATCTAATTGGGCCTTGAACTACTGCATTTTCCCTGATACTCTGAAGATTAGTGGCTGTGTTTAGATCATTATTCCCCTGAAAGGCTAGAAGATAAATAGGCATGTTTTTCAGACACACGTTTTCAGAATTGTTCTTCCTTTGCACAAATTAGTGGAAAGGATTTGACTGACCACTAAATCAGCAAGCTGAATAAAACAACTGATAATGTAGTTATCATATTCTCTGCTCCAAGGTCAAGATGCAGTCAGATGAGAGGAATTAAAAAAAAAAAAATTTACTCTTAGATGAGGGCCCTGGAATCCTGAGAGGTGAGCAACTTTCTAAATATCTTATGGGATGAAAGGTATAAATAAGTCTAACTCAAAGACCTCTGATATTCAGAGCAATGTTATCTCTACAGGGTAGGGATAGTGAGGTGAGAATGAGAGCAAAGGAAAAAACTCTGTCTCCATCCAGAACTTCACTCCAGCAAGTATGTAGGTCACTCAGACAAATGCTTTCAGGGTCTTTGGTGGTTTATTGCAAATCCCTAATTTTCCTGTGGAGGAGCCAGTCTGCATTATTACTCCAGCCAAGGTGACTCACCCTTTGGCAGGTTCACCGGACTCTTAAGCATGTAGTTAAAAAGGGCTCTTGTTTACAGTACGGCCACTCAAGAAAGCTGGTTTTGCTTCACAAACAAACATTCTTTGCCTAGAGAGAGTTGATTATATATTTATTCTTTATAATAACTAATAGTTGGTCAACAGAAAGCTTTTTCTATTGAGTAAAGAGCAGTTTTGTACTCAACTTTTCTGATCATTTTGAGGCTAACACTAGCTTTTCTCTGGGGTTGCCACCAGTCACCATCAGGCTAATCATTCAGTTCATTTCTGAAATGTTGAGACTATATTTGTAGTAGGTGATACAGAAGTGACTCAGTAGATATTGACCATTATCTAGTAATAAATGATGGGTCTCT